TGCCTTGGTTTATCCTCGCTGCTTTCCACATTTCCACATCGTCCTTTCCGTTTTACACTTACCAATGGGCCGTTGTTAAAGCTCATCTGGACTTCATGCCCAGACATCGCATATCTTTCCAGCGCTGCCGGGTGGGCCCTCCAATCCATTGCTGTGCATCAGGTCGTTTTGGAAGCTTGCTGTATCTACTCTACTGTTTGACTTTAGGATGGAACTGTATGACTGATGAGGTAGCCAGCTAAACCAAATGTTTCAATGATCTTCCAGAATGTTTTCTTGTTGGGTAAGCCCCATTTCGGATGATGTAAAATGACCCCAATCATTGCATATTGGGTCTGCCATATTACATGTACAAGATTTCGATGGATTTTGGAAGGATACTTTGTGGAGCCTGTTGTTCGCAACCATGCTCAGAGCATGTTGTTGACTCTCTGCTTGGAGCATGAATGCTAGGCCCTAGGCTGCTCAATTGACGGGGGAATTAAGTCGCAAATTATCACTACAGTATTTAGGGGGGCCACCATGGGCCACCCATACATCACAAACCAGAGTTTAGACTCAGACGGAATATGCCAACATTGACTGGCAAATCCTTCGCTTTGGAATATGTGTTTGGTTTTCGTACTTATTCAATATATATAGCACGCATTCGCATGCTGCAATGTAGAACTAATTATGATTAATGATGCTAGTAATAATTAATAATAGCAATAACTTTATATATATATATATTATATATACATATGGATGGATGCAAGACTCAAAAAAAACATCCCCTGCTCCCCAGGCGTCTCTGGGACTTTTACGACGTTAGCGCCGCTACAATCAGCAGCATCGGATTTGCCGGAGTTCGATGTGGCAGATGCCACCTGCGAGGCAAAGGCAGAGTCCTTGATGTCCCTTAGCGACGGTGGAGGTTGATATATGTTTTTTTCAAACCTTTCCTTAAAAACAAAAACAAGTTTCGGTCATTTTAGTATATAGATGTTCTATGTTTTTTGCTAGTTTATGTTTTCTTCATGGGGTTCCTACACTGGTAACTGTCGATGGTGGCATTTAAGAATGCCTGGGAAATGCAATTTGGTGATTGCAGCCGCAGGTCAAGCCATGGCATAGAAATAGAACAGATCGCTTTGGACGTCTGAATTATTGAACAAAGGTTTTTCCCCTTTTTTTCAGCCAGCTAGAAGAACTTGTGGAAATGATTTGAAATTATGATTTATTGAAGCCTACGAAACAAACACCGGCAAAAACTCGTGAGACTACAGCTTAAATTCATCTACAGTCAGCATTGCCGCCCTTCGATTTCACCATGTCCTTGGCCCTTGGGCTAAGGATGCTACAGAGCAGAGCTCATAACACAGTGGCCACTATGAGACGCAAGTCATTGTGGTTGACCGACCTGCACGCGGATCTCTACTACCTGTCGGATGTGCGTGACTTGCTGGCTATTTGTTTTACTACTTTGATACACTTCAAATGGTTGTTCACTGCAAAAGAACACATATTGAATGAAATATAATGACCAGCTATTTTTGCTTGGTATCCTAGATTAGCCATGAAGAGTAACCTTGAAAAAATGATGAATGACAATGGCAGTGGAGAACCAGCCACGTGTAAAGGTGTCCGATAAATTGGACCTCAGTTGTCAAACTTGGATGAAACGGGTTTGTCTAAACACAGAGTGGCTGAAACCCATGTTTTATCATGATTGCCACCTTAGAAAAATGCAATGAATTTGTGTGAAAGCACCATTTTTTCTCACGCCTGGATACCAATTTGTTTGTAAAAACCGCGGTCCACATCCCTAATCTCTGTAGTCTAGTTGGGTATATATATATATAGCTCTATTTTGGTTGGTTAAATCCAACAGTATATACAATTGCTCAGGGATGGCTATTTATTTATTTATGTTTTTTTTTTTTCGCGGCAGGTTTTGCATTTGTTTTTGGGTTCCTGGTTCTATGCTCTCCTGTTTCTCTGATTTTCTGCTTCTCTGCTTTTCTGCTTCTCTGCTTCTCTGCTTTTCCTGCTTCTCTGCTTTTCCTGCTTCTCTGCTTTTCTGCTTTTTGCTTTCCCTGCTTCTCTGCTTTTCTGCTTCTCTGTTTTCCCTGCTTCTTTCTACTTCTACTATTCTACTTTTGCTTTTCTTCAGTCATGTGATTTTGCTGCTCCACTTCCTGCTCCTTTGCTTCCTTGCTTCCTGTCTTTACTGTATCTTTGTTTTTCACTTTCTTTCGCTTTATTCATTCTGTTCTGTTTGTATCCTAAATGAAACCCTAGAGAGACCCTAGGTGAAACCCAAAGAAACCCTAAAGAAATCCTGATAAGAAACCCTACATGAAGCCCTAAATGAACCCTAAAGAAACCATAAATGAACCCTAAAGAAACCATAAATTAATCCTAAAGAAACAATAAATGAAACCCTAAAGAAACTTTAAGTGACACCCCAAATGACATCCCAAAGAAACCTTACACAACACCCTGAAAAAAAAAACTACTGTAAATGGAACCTTAACTGACACCTTAGCTGAACCCTAAATTGACACCCTAAAGAAATCCTAAATGAAATCCTAAATTGAAACCCTAAATGAAACCCTAAATGAAACCCTAAAGAAACCCTAAATGAAACCCTTAGAAACCCTAAAGAATTCTAAATGACACCCTAAATGAACCCCTAAAGGAACCCACTTGAACGTTTAGAAATCGTGGAAAGAAATCCTGATAAGAAACCCTGGAATGAAGCCCTAAAGAAAGCTTAAATGAACTCCTGAATGAAACCCTAAATTGAAGCCCTAAATTGAAACCCTAAAGAAACCTTAAATGAGACCCTAAATGAAACCCAAACTGAAACCCTAAATGAAACCCTAAATGAAACCCTAATCGAAACCCTAAAGAAACCCTAAATGAGACCCTAAAGAAGCCCTAAAGAAACCCATTTGAACGTTTAGAACTCCTGATAAGAAACCCTGATAAGAGACCCTACATGAAACCGGGAAAAACCCTAAATGGAACTCTAAAGAAACCCAAATGCTAAAGAAACCCTAAAATGAAACCGTAAAGAAACCCTAAATGAAACCCTAAATGAAACCCTAAAGAAACCTTAAAGAAACCCGAAATGAAACCCTAAATGAAACCCCAAATGAAGCCTTAAATAAGACCCTAAATGAAATCCTTAATTAAGCCTTAAATGCAACCTTAAATGAAAGCCCAAAGAACCCTCAAGAGACCCACATGAACGTTTGAAGCACCAAAATGTAGCAAATACCATGCAAATGAGAGGTTGAAATGCCAAAATATAACAAATACCATGCAAAATGGAAGGCAAACGTGGCCAAATGTAGCAAATACCATGCAAAATGCAAAGTGACCATGCCAAAATGTAGCAAATACCATGCAAAATGACAGGTTCTAGTTCCAAACTGTTGTAAAAACAAGGCAACTGGTACCGGGAAAGAAAGCCAAAACAAATGGCAAAAAAAAACAAAAACTATTCTATACCCATTGCTCAGGCCAATGCGTCAAGAAGAACGTCAGCACTTTGAGGCGGAAATTGACGTGCAGTCGCAAGAGAACTCTCTTTTGGTTTTAATAAGACGCAAGGAAAACGGGATGTTCCTTGAACCGACTGATTTCTAAGCAGGCGCTCCCTGAAAACCCCAACTCTTACGAACTAATTGGGGTTGAACACAACATACTACAATCAGTGGATTAAACCTATCTCCATTTGCAGCGACTTCAAATTTGTCACCAACAATGAGCTTTGCCCAGCTTCGTGCGCAACATCAAATACTCCTGAAACAAAAGCCTAGTTTAGTTTGGGATCTATTCAAAAAATTGGGTTCTTTATTGGGTATTTAGAGTTTCTTTTGGGGATGAATTCATTTGGTCCAGGACCCTGCCCTCCACCTGTGGAAAGTGAGGCACTTTCCTTTTGGCGTGATGGGCTGTGACCCTCCAGCCACTTTGCTGTCCGAAACGCTCAGAAGGGCCACTTCCATGCAGCTGGAGCCACTGGGAGATTTGGGATGATCAATGTTGGCCAAAGTAGGCACCACTAGCACGTTGCAACTTTGGGTTTTGAGGTTTTGCTAGCCTACCAGGCTGCTTCACCAACAGTATCCAACAGTCCACTTAGAGTTTCTTTTTTGGGTACCCATAAAAGCCAGTTGCTCATCATTGCATCCCAACTGAAAGGTACCACCGCTGGCTTTTATTGAACATGGGGTAAGCTGATATTTTGTAAATTCTAGACAGCCGATGCTTCGTTTGCATGTTAGTTATGATTTGGGTCAGGGGTTGGGGTTGGGAGGGCTACATGTTACGCCGCCAGAACAGCCCTTCTCGTCGGTAAGGCTTTTAAAGGGCAATAGTCGTTTGAATTGGTAAAGGTGGTACCAGTGAGCATCCATTTCATTGCCTTCATTGGGGTTTTACATCTCTTCTCCTGTCTGTGGTCATGGCTACCACAAACCGAACATTGCGGTCGCTAAAGGCCTTTCAACAGACCTCATTTTCTATTTCATGTGTAATGCAAGAATCTCTGTATGTAGTTGTATGTCAAAGACCTCTAGATTGGGAAAAACCAAAAACGGCAAATCTAGTCTATCTAATACTATCTAAGTGCTTATTTTCGACAAATGACATGATGAACAAGGATCCTTTGCACATGCAAGTGAGCCGAACATGTGAAACTGCATCCACTTGGGGCAAATTTGACACGAAAGTTGATCCAAAAACTGTCCTGTCAAAGTTAACAACGTCCATTTCGTCCCACAGATTGGGTGCATCCCGGTAAATCCCTTTTTCAGACATACCCGCAATATGTGCCATGGTATGCCATGGTCAAAACTTGAATTGCACGGCCATATTCAGGGATGGTCATTCATCCATCAAATGGGATGCAGATACCCATCATAAGGAGTCCCATTCTGGGATGGATGACCATCCATATATATATATACATATCGTATTGTTGGTGATTATAAATGTATATATATATCTAGATTAGTGAGTGCGTCTCCCTCTTTATTTGGGCTTGTCTGTGAAACAATAGGAACTATATTTAAACCTTCTAGGGACTATCTATCTATATATATATAAAGGCTTGCAGGATCTCTATATAGTTTCTAAAAGTGAATTGATAAATGAAATGATGTTCATTGTTGGATGCTGCTAACCCCTCTATGGGCAAAGGATCAGTTGGGTTGATAGTTGTTTTGCCTTAGAGCTGCTCCCATCAATACTTATCAGGATTTCCATGTTTGATTGCATGGCGCACATCCCCAGTTACAATCTTATCTAGCTGCAGAAGCCCAATTCCCAACAAGCTAATCGCTAGTAGTGCAGCATTGCCATTACTACATTGCTCAGTGCAGGGCCTCCTCTCACAATATAAAGAACGTTTGCCAACCAAAAACCATACCAAAAACCAGACATGTTGGAAGAACTCTGATGTTTCTCCCCTTAGGCCATGTTGCAAGTCATGCGCTGCGCCAGACCACAAGTCCCAACATGGAAAGACCAGCAGGATGATGTTGGGTCGCAACATTCTGGCATGAAGCAAAGAGCAACGTACCACTAACCGCACGAAAAAGGGCACCAAAAATTTAACCCGAGACTTTGGATTTTGTTGCTTTTCTTTCTCGGAAGCATGTATCCTATCCCAGTTTAAGAAAAAAATATAAAGTCATATGCTGAAACTGTTCAAAAAGCGAATGTGGCTGTGGCATGCAACACTTGCTTTGATTTGTGCAATCTTTCCGCTGAGTCGTAGCGGCCCCATCATGCTCAAATCATATTCTTATTCCCCCAAAGAGCGTTCGCAGTGTCCAGCTGAACAAATCTGAGACCATTTGCGTACTGATAGCGCTTTGGGTTTTGCGAAGAGCATTCAAGCGCACTTGCTTGGGGGCATCCTATGTCGCCATTTTTTCTTCGGGGATTTTCGAACGGTTTTTAACCCAGAATATTCGAGGAATACGTTCCGATCAATGTCGCGGTTAGTTGAACGTGTAAGAATCTGCTAACTTTTGAGAGCATACCGGTGTACGCTGAAGGTGATTAAATTAGCCTAGGCTGGGTTGGACATGGTTTGGCTAATGGATGGGCTTGATGATATCGCATTGTAAGATCAAGAAGGACTGTGGAATCTATGAAGGATGCCGCCTCCAAGATTTTGCATGTTCCTTCAGGTGGTTGTTGGGGAGGCCAGGCGCTAAGAGCAGCACCATTGAACATCTCCAAAAAAAATGGTGCGCATTACGCATGTTTCTTTATTGGAAAAACAGCCCCTGCATTTTGCCGTGGTGATTTCGTGAGTTGCCCCGTTCTCGATGTTTATATATCTAGTCCCGCCTTTTTAGTATATAGTTCCGCCATGTTTTTTATATATAGCGCCATTAGTCCCCACAGAGCGCGGTTTTACTCTCAGAGCTATTTGGAGCCTTTTAAGGCTGCTGAATATATATACACCGTTTGAAACGGTTCCAGGGCTGTGTAAACGCAGACTCCTGCCGAAGCACGCTCGCTAATATGGCAGTGGCCCGGAACGGTTTGGCCTGCAACCTGAAATCCTATCCGCCCTCATCCTGGCCCCCTCCCTTAGATAGCCAAGAACCCGTTCCATAAACCTTGATTTTGTGCATTGATACGTTCCGTTTATAAAGTCAAGAACAATTAAGAATCGTTCAGAACCGTGTTGATGATGATGGTGGTGATGATGATGATGATGCACACATGGAAAAACACCCAAAAACACCTTTCTTTAAATATAGTCAGGCACCACTCCTGGTTTTTTATAGTTAGGAACCGTTCCTGACTATATTTCGAATTACTTATTTATAATCAGGAACCGTTTCGAACCGGTCCTGAGTATGTATATATATATATATGTATAAACCATGTTTACATACATATATGTATATGTAAATATATATATATATATAGTCAGGAACCGTTCCTGACTATATATAATTAGCCCCCGGATAGTCTCAAATAGTCCCAGGTATATAAAGTCAGGAACCGTTCGAAACCCTTCATGACTATAAATAAACCCGCTTATGCAAAGCCCCCAGCCACCTACTCGTAGGCCAGACATCTTTAAAAAGCCTTGAGCAGTACTGTGCCATCTATATCAGCCCCGCTGCTTTTAAAGACGAGAAAGAGCGCCACCGAGCACAGTGTCAACCCCAGTGACTCGTGATATTGATTGCTTGTCATGCATCCACGACATGGATGCCTTGATCTTGAAGGCGTCGGCCTTGATCAAAGCAAGGTTCATGAAAATCACCCGGGCGCGTGCGTATTTACACATGGCTTCACGTCGCACTATTAGCAGTAGCAATAAACTTGAGAAGAACCTGCCAACTATCTCAAATTACATGACTGAGAAAGCAGTGCCTGCAGCAGGAATGCGATGCCAGCACTAGGATACCACTTTCGCGTTTTGGGGCGGTCAAAGCATTGCGATGATGACTCTGGTAGATTCATTGACTGGTCTCTGAGCATGTAGTTGAATACTAAGGCAACATATAAACACACAAGTAACATTCAACAGGGCGATTTTGAGGGTTGATTTTTTGCCTATAGCTCCCCATTGCTGAAAAATAGTTTCTAGTAGCTTTCTACACATAGTTCCAACCATATAGTAGCTCCATATAGCCCCATATATAGTTCCATCAGTTTATATATAGTTCCAACCCTCTGAGAGAGATAGATGGTGAAGCACCCTATAATATATATATATGCACGCATATATGCATATATAAATATATATATATATTTATATTTATACACAGTATATACGATTTTGTTTGTGTAGGTGAATAGGTAGATCCTCGAAAATCAGAGAATATTCTCATGGTTGTTGGCTCGAATCCATTCAATTCCTATTTTAGTACCATATATCAACGGATTTGCACTTAGAACATCATTTTCCAAAATTCCAACCCTTTATATACTTAGAACATCAACGGGACCCTATACTTAGAATCTTCATTGATATTTGCATACTTGGAACATAAACAGATCATATACTTAGAACATGTCCATTGACTTTGGCAAACCTGCATGTATACACACAAATACCTTTGTGAACACCACACTTAAAACAGTTTCTCCCCTCAGTGCTGCAGAAAAAAACTGCCTTTTCTTCCGGAACAATATCCCACGCAATCTTGGCTGAAATGGGAATGGTCTCTGAACATTTGGAGGTTTCCTAATGAGGGTAGCCCAGAAGCATAGGTTTCAATAGTAAAATGGTTAAATTGTGCATGAATTGGTGCTCAAAAACAGTCGAATACTAAATGGAGTCACTGCATAAGCCTTCAAGATAGGGGGCTGAATCACGATGAATCACGCGTCTAGATATGCTAAAACATAATTTGGGATGTTCTAAGTGTAGGCTCTGCTACCTATCTATGGGCCTCCTGGAAATTGAGAATAGAAAAGGTGTTTCAGCCTAATGGAGTCTATGCACAAGACCTGAAGAACTGGAACAGAACCACACCTCTAGATCTTCTAAAACATAATCTGGTTTAATTTGGGATTCTCTAAGTGTAGACTCTGCAAACTACCTGTGGGCATCCTGGAAACTGAGAATCTAAACATGTTTTTAGCCAAATGGAGTCTATGCACAAGACCTGAAGAAAAGGAACAGAACCATGCGTCTACATCTTTTAAAACATAATTTGATTTGTTTGGGATGTTCTAAGTGTAGACTCTGCTACCTATCCATGGGCCTCCTGGAAATTGAGAATATAAAAGGTGTTTCAGCCTAATGGAGTCTTTGCACAAGACGGGAAGAACTGGAACAGAACCACACCTCTAGATCTTCTAAAACATAATCTGGTTTAATTTGGGATTCTCTAAGTGTAGACTCTTCAAACTACCCGTGGGCATCCTGGAAACTAAGAATATAAACTGTTTTTTTAGACAGATGGAGTCTATGCACAAGACTTGAAGAAGGAACAGAACTATGCGCCTAGAGCTTTTGAAGCATAATCTGGTTTAATTTGGGATTCTCTAAGTGCAGACTCTGCAAACTACCTGTGAGCATCCTGGAAACTGAGAATATAAACATGTTTTTCAGCCTAATGGAGTCTTTGCACAAGACCTGAAGAATATAATCATAACCATGCTTCTACCTCTATTGAAACATAATTTGGGATGTTCTAAGTGTAGTCTTTGCCACCTATCTGTGGGTATCCTGGAAACTTAGAATGCAACTCAGCCAAGTGAAGTCTATGCACAAGACTTCAAGAAAAGAAACAGAATCACACGTCTACATCTTTTAATACATAATCAGAGATGTTCTAAGTGTAGTCTCAGCCACTTACCTGTTGGCTTCCGGGAAACGAAGAATGCAAGTCAGCCAAGTGGAGTGTATTCACAAGCCCTCAAGATCAGGTGGATAGGGAACTGGATGGCCAAGAAGAGATTGGATTCAGTTGTGGCTGGAATTCTGTATTTATATATATATATAAATGTACACAGAGTCTTCCACATGCAAGTTCATATGTTGTTTTATTCATATATATATATATATCAAAGTAACATTTATTTGAAAATCATAAGTTGTATGAACACAGGACTGATCATTGCCGGAGATTCCCCCTACCTCAGTTTATATAGTGTATAGTATCTTTGTCGGACAAACACTTCGACGAACATCTAAGTGTTTTCCATTGGTTCCCCCTAGGATTATGTTCTAAGTATATATATATATATATTATATGTTGGATTGTTCTAAGTATGCTTTTTTTGTTTATGATGTTCTAAGTGATACTTAGAACATCCCCGCGGTGAAGGCTTGACATTTGTTTAAATTTGTTTTTCTAAAATGTGTTCTAAGTGCAAGTCCGTCTATATAAATGAATCCCATTATCCTCCATGGTTTTGACCTTGGCACGCCCGGCACGTTGTTCCTCATGTTCCATCTCCAGGACCGTGGTGCAGACTTTGCCCTCTACACTGGGGACTTCTCCCGTCACAACATGGGGAACCTTAGTGATCCATCTTGGTTTTGACGGAAAGGCAAAGTATTTGGGCAGGAGTGTTTATGGCTGTTCATTTTGATGTAAACCAATATGTACCAAGATGATGAGACATGTTGATGTTAATAACCGGACAAAAAACAATGCGTCCTACCTTGAACATTGTTTTTGGGTTGAACCTGGTTCTGGAATATTTTCAAAATAATTTCTAATTTTTCATAATTGTTGATGTTTACATCAAATAGCAAGAACCATAGCAAAATGATTTTATGGTCCCGTAACCTCCTGATGAGGCAAATAGATTTCCCCTACAGAAGTTGAAGCACCCTGAAAAAAATAGATAATTGGCAGAAGTCACCACCAGCAAAATAATTTCAGCATATTTCGACACCAAGACGATAGGACAAGCATGGACAGCATGAAAAGTCCACAACTGTCAGGGTGCTTCAGCAGCACCACCACTCCCACAATGATTTATTTCCTGGGGTGGTCTAGTGGTACCCCCACCCCCAAAATAATTTATTGGTGAGAAAGGAGTCGATTCAGATTTCTTTGCCCAAAAGTCGATGGTCTAAATAAGAAGCGGTTCAGTAGCGCCACCACCCCCAAAATAATTAGGTTCTCATGGTTTGATTCTTTGAGACAGTTTGGGTCAATTTGGATAAGTTTGTTTTTTTTTGAACTATTTCAGGCGCAGTTGAGTTTTGCCAGGTTAGGTTAATTGGTTTCCAGGGGTGGTCTAATAGTACCCCCACCCCCAAAAATAATTTATTGGTGAGAAAGGAGTCAATTCAGATTTCTTTGCCCAAAAGTCTATGGTCTAAATAAGAAGCGGTTCAGTAGCGCCACCACCCCCAAAATAATTAGGTTCTCATGGTTTGATTCTTTGAGGCAGTTTGCGTCAACTTGAATATTTTGGTATTTTTGACTTATCCCAGGGGAAGTTGAGTTTTGCCAGGTTAGGTTATTTTTTTCCTGGGGTGGGGTGGTCCAGTAGTACCCCCACCCCAAAAATAATTGTTTGGTGTGAAAGGGGGTGGGTTTAGAGATGATTTATTTGATTTGTGGTGCCACCACCTCCTTTGCTTTTATTTTCTACACTTGAGTGGCTGCCCTGAGAGGCGGCATCAGACGGCATTAGGTTTTGTTGGTTATTATATTGAGGTGTCTCTACTGTTTTTTTCCATCATCCATCACCATCTTGCACCATTTCAAAATAATTTAAAAAAATATTTTTGAGGCAAGGGAGCTGTTTTGAGAGTATAGTGGAACCACCACCAAATAATGTTGGCTCCCTAATAATAAACCGTCCCTCCTAAATTTTTGAAAATGTTCCTTTTCTTTAAGGGGTGGGTCAGCATTCCATCAGTAAATTCCTGGAACCCTATTCTGGATACTATACCATGCCCTCTGGGCAAGGTCAGAGCAGGAGTTTTTTGGCAATACTAAAACAAAATTAGGCTAAATTACTTTTAGTATTGGAGAAAAAAACTTGAGTTGGGAAACAAGTTTCCACTATTGCCATGTTGGGTCCGCTATTGGCCATGCCCTCTGGACAAGGTCAGAACATGAGTTTTTTGGTAATATTAAAATTAAATTAAGCTAATTGACTTTTAGTATTGGAGATAAAACTGGAGTTGGGAAAACAAGTTTCTACTATTGCCGAGATATCACTATTGGTTAGACAACATTAATTTGTTTCCAACCTGTTAGAAATTATTTTGATGGGGTGGATAGCTTGAAAGAAAATTATTTTGGATTGGTTTTAGTGTTTTTGAAATTATTAAACAAGCACTTCTGATTCATTAAATAAAAACAGGGGCACCTAGTATTTTGCTTTAGGTGGCCCGCATAAAACACATGATAGGGTAGCTGAAAATTAGACTTATTAGGTTTGTTTGTGCTACCACCGTCCGTAAAGAACTTGGCGTTTTTGCGGATTTTTTTTTAAAACTTTCATGTCCTTCATCTCTTTTTCACATACATCTCACATGAGCACATGGACCTTCCGGCGGATGGGGCTGGTAACGTCATGTTGCACTTGCTCACATGTTCGATGCTACGCTAGAGACGTCGTCTTCACATGAGCACACATACCTTCGGGTGGGGGGGGCTGTTAACGTCATGTTGCACCTGCTCACATGTTCGATGCTAGGCTAGAGACATCGCCTTCACATAAGCACGCATACCTTCAGGTGGGGGGGGCTGTTAACGTTTGCTTTTGTCATGTTGCACTTGCTCACATGTTCGATGCTACGCTAGAGACGTCGTCTTCACATAAGCACACATACCTTCGGGTGGGGGGGGCTGTTAACGTCATGTTGCACCTGCTCACATGTTTGATGCTACGCTAGAGACGTCGTCTTCACATGAGCACACATACCTTCGGGCTTCGGGTGGGGGGGCTGTTATAACGTCATGTTGCACTTGCTCACATGTTCGATGCTACGCTAGAGACGTCGTCTTCACATGAGCACACATACCTTCGGGTGGGGGGGGCTGTTAACGTCATGTCGCACCTGCTCACATGTTTGATGCTACGCTAGAGACATCGCCTTCACATAAGCACGCATACCTTCGGGTGGGGGGGGCTGTTAACGTCATGTTGCACCTGCTCACATGTTTGATGCTACGCTAGAGACGTCGTCTTCACATGAGCACGCATACCTTCGGGTGGGGGGGGCTGTTAACGTCATGTTGCACCTGCTCACATGTTTGATGCTAGGCTAGAGACATCGCCTTCACATAAGCACGCATACCTTCAGGTGGGGGGGGCTGTTAACGTCTGCTTTTGTCATGTTGCACTTGCTCACATGTTCGATGCTACGCTAGAGACGTCGTCTTCACATGAGCACACATACCTTCGGGTGGGGGGGCTGTTAACGTCATGTTGCACCTGCTCACATGTTTGATGCTACGCTAGAGACGTCGTCTTCACATGAGCACAGATACCTTCGGGTGGGGGGGCTGTTAACGTCATGTTGCACCTGCTCACATGTTTGATGCTACGCTAGAGACATCGCCTTCACATAAGCACGCATACCTTCGGGTGGGGGGGGTTGTTAACGTCTGCTTTTGTCATGTTGCACTTGCTCACATGTTCGATGCTACGCTAGAGACGTCGTCTTCACATAAGCACACATACCTTCGGGTGGGGGGGTGTTAACGTCTGCTTTTGTCATGTTGCATTTGCTCACATGTTCGATGCTACGCTAGAGACGTCGTCATCGCATGAGCACACATACCTACGGGTGGGGGGGGGCTGTTAACCTCATGTTGCACTTGCTCACATGTTCGATGCTACGCTAGAGACGTCATCTTCACATGAGTGCACATACCTTCAGGTGCGGGTGGGCTGATAACGTCATGTTGCACTTGCTCACATGTTCGATGCTACGCTAGAGACATCGTCTTCACATGAGCACACATACCTTCGGGTGGGGGGGCTGTTAACGTCATGTTGCACTTTCTCACCATGTTCGATTCTCCGCTAGAGACGTCGTCTTCACATAAGCACACATACCTTCGGGTAGGGGGGTTGTCAACGTCATGTTGCACTTGCTCACATGTTCGATGCTAATTACGCTAGAGATGTCGTCTTCACATGAGCACATATACCTTCGGGTGGGGGGGCTGTCAACGTCATGTTGCACTTGCTCACATGTTCGATGCAACGCTAGAGACGTCGTCTTCACATAAGCACACATACCTTCGGGTGGGGGGGGCTGTACCCTGAGTCTCCTAAAATAGTAAAATTTAGGCCGGCAAAAAATTACGTAAATGTTTGGATTTAGGCCGAACAATTTACGTATTTTTTTTTTACTTAGCTTAGTAAATATTTACTATTGAAAACAAGATGAAGCCCACGAACCCGAATGCTCACACGTATGTGGAAGATAACGATGTTAAAGTATCGATTATGACAGGAGGTGAAAATGTTAATGCTCAAACCTATCGTAGAACAATGGAACAACGTCATTGCTCCGATTCTGTTTTCTCTCCGCGACAGCAGCACTGGCGTCGCAACGCAGTGGCGCGCGGCAAGCAGCGCCTTCCAAGACATGCAAGCCATGCGAGACGAACATATCACACATGAAACAAAAGGACAGGTTTTGCAGCTTCCCCCATAGACACGGCGAAGCCACGGGCAAACCAGAGACGCGAGACGAGACACGTGGGAGCACCAAAACGAGCATTTCGTACGAGACTTCCTCCAAGTTTGACACTTTGCAGCTTCAAAATCGACACGTATGTTAATGGTACAGATGTCAAAACACATGGTCATGCAGTCACGCACAATACCTTTCTGCAATAGTTTATTTGAACAGTCTTGTACATGTTTCCCTTGTTACCAGTCTGCAGTGTGGAGTGGAAAGTGTAGAGTGTGGAGTGTGGAGTGTGAAGTATAAGGAGTGTGGAGTGTAAAGTGTGGAGTGGGGAGTGTAGAGTGTGTAAAGTGTAGAATGCGGAGTGTAAAGTGTAGAATGCGGAGTGTAGAGTGTGGAGTATGGAGTGTAAAGTGTAGAGTGTAGAGTGTAAAGTGTGGAGTGTGGAGTGTAAAGTGTAGAGATGGAGTCTGGAGTGTAAAGTGTGGAGTGTAAAGTGTGGAGTGAGGAGAGTAAAGTGGAAAGCGTGGAGTGTAAAGTGTAAAGTGTGGAGTGTAGAGTGTATAGTGTAGAGTGTAAAGTGTAGAGTGTGGAGTGTGGAGTGTAAAGTGTGGAGTGTAAAGTGTGGAGTGAGGAGTGTAAAGTGTGGAGTGTGGAGTGTAAAGCGTGGAGTGTGGAGTGTGGAGTGGAAAGTGTGGAGTGTGAAGTGTGGAGTGTAAAGAAACGAGTGTGGAGTGCAAAATGTGGAGTGAGGAGTGTAAAGTGTGGAGTTTGGAGTGTAAAGTGTGGAGTGAGGAGTGTAAAGTGTGGAGTGTGGAGTGTAAAGTGTGGAGTGTAAAGTGTGGAGTGTGGAGCGTAAAGTGTAGAGTGTGGAGTCTGGAGTGGAAAGTGTAGAGTGT